CTTTATCGCTCGCTATCGCTTTGTCGCTCTCTATCGCTCTCTATTGCTCTCTCTCTCTCTCTCTCTCTCTCCTCTCTCTCTCTCTCTCTCTCTCTCTCTCTCTCTCTCTCTCTCTCTCTCTCTCTCTCTCTCTCTCTCTCTCTCTCTCTCTCTCTCTCTCTCTCTCTCTCTCTCTCTCTCTCTCTCTCTCTCTCTCTCTTCCTCCCTCCCTCCCTCCCTCCCTCCCGCCCCCTCCCTCCCTCCCTCCCTCCCTCCCTTCCTCCCTTTCTCTTCCTCCTTTCCTTTCTCCCTTCCCCTCTCTTTCTCTCTGCTTGTCAACAGTGAGTGTATTACCAACATTGCGGGCCAACCTGTGGCTTCCAGTTGACCGGCACTCGCCTGCGAGCTTAAAACATAGCTGCGCCTTCTTCAGCGTATAAGGATTTGTTCTCCGGGGCCTCCAGCGGACAGACGAAGTGTGCGACGAAGCACATGGTGAAGGCGTTTGCAAATTGTCATGTCATCCCGACACCGTCCGGCACGAAGGCCCATTAATTCGACGGGAAACGGCCCATGTCACGATTCCTATGTACGCAATACGCTTTGACTTCAAACGAGAAAGATTGAGCCGTGAAGAGCATAGAGGTGGCAACGTAGTGCATTGTAACCGGCGTTGAGATGAAACACAGTCGCACTTTTCGTGATACTTTGGGCACCATGTACTAAAGTATGCGCGGGTCCGAAGTCCCGCATGTCGCCGCTTTCGGCAGGGTATCCGCCTGGCAAACGGGTTCCTGTTGGCCGTCTGTTGGTTGGTGTTGGCCGCTTGGCCAGCCGTCTGTTGGTTGGTGTTGGCCGCTTGGCCAGCCGTCTGTCGGCTGGTATTGGCCGTCTTTGGGTTGGTGTTGGCCGTTTGGCCTGCCGCCTGTCGGCTGGTATCGGTCATCTGTCGGCTGGTGTTGGCCATTTGGCCGGCTGTTTGTCGGCTGGTATTGGCCGTCTGTGTGCTGATGTGGGTCGTTTGGCCGGCCCAACGGGCAACACCAGCTCACAGGCGGCCAGTCCGACAGCCAACACCAGCTTACAGACGGCCAACACCAGCCCACAAACGGCCACACCGACGGCCAACGCAGGCCCATAAACGGCCAGCCCGAAGGCCGACACCAGCCCACAGACGGCCGGCCGACAGCCAACACCAGCCAGCAGACGGTCAACACCAGCAAACGGACGGTCAATACCAACCCACAGACGGCCGGCTCAACTTCACTTCAGTTCAGGTTATTTACGAATTTTTCCAACAAGTGGATTGACGCTCCATTCGAGTCAATACAGCTCCAACACGTAGTCATTCATTGTCATACAAATAGAACAAAAACGGGAATCAGACAAGCCGACTTCATTTGTCAAGATTCTGCAGACGATCCTGGCCCCGAAATACACCACCCTCTGCACTCTGCTGAAATGAAACGCCGCGCCCCCTCCGTAGACTTGGGGCAGCATAGGACATGAGGAATACATGGGACTGAATAAGGAGTTTTACGGGCATCGGGCGTGACGTGGTGTCGTATCTTATGCAACAGGGGTAGGATGGGTCTCACTTTTTTGTAACTTTTGATAGACGTGCTCCTACCAGGATAAAATATTGTCGTTTGGGAACCCCAGCATCTTTACGGACGGTGTGGGGCTTGGCACCTACATGGCCAGCAAGATTGGTTCGAGTTTCGCGCTTGCTGTGTAGATATTCATACCGTTATTCACCTTCCCCCAAAAGTACAAAAAAACGCCAATTTGATTCGCATTTAGAGTGTATAGCTGTTGACATAAACCCATTCTAAAGATTATTTTTTAGATTAAATCGAAGTGTACATAAATCATTGCTAAAGATGTTTGCCTGCCCAGACGCCTGTTTTGATTTTCAGCTCCATTTGGCGTTTCGAAAATATGTGATATTACTATGACTACTATATTTATCATTTGGTAGCTTAGAGGGGATGCGATTTTTGAACGATGTTTTCATCGACTCAACGGACTGAGGTCAAATGATGTGTGATTGTCGCAATGTCTGCAGGCAGCTTTTCTTTGACAGCTGACACGTACGTTTACCTGAGTACATTTACCTGCGTCAACTTGGTGTGTCTCTCGTCAAAGTAAGAAACCGGATGGTAGATGGCTGTAAGCTCGTCTGATACGCATGGGGAAATTGTCAGTATCTTGGCATGAGCACCTGCCGTGGTGATGCTCGCCACCTGAAAACTCAGCCAACCTCGGCATTCGAACCAAGACCGCTCGAAACAAACATTCATGGGACCACTACACCTTTCATCCAGCTTCCATGAATCTAGGCTGGTTTGTTATGTTTCAGAGGCACGTGCCTCGTTATTCGTAATTAACCGACGTACTTAACACTCCGGTCCTGCTATTTCCTAATTTACCGGGTTCCTTCACACTGCGCGGTCCTGCAATATCGGCTCGGTCCTCGCATATTCAACAACCCGTAAAACAGTACGTATGGGAGCTTTCACCAATCTCAACCGATAGAAATGCGTGCGTTGACATAGAGCTATAGTTCCTCTGCATGAGTCGTTTATACTACAGCTCCTTATGGTGGCCCTCGCTTGTCGGAACTAAAACCCGGTCCTCCTTGTCATGGCTCACACGTATGGGTGTGTGTGTGTGTGTGTGTGTGTGTGTGTGTGTGTGTGTGTGTGTGTGTGTGTGTGTGTGTGTGTGTGTGTGTGTGTGTGTGTGCGTGTGTGTGTGCGTACACCGTTGTGAAGCGCTCTGTGCGATTAAAGCAAAAGCACCGGCCAAAACTGACAAGACACCGTATCAGAGTGATCGGGAGCAGTTAAGTCCACGGTAACTAAATCTCCACACATCTACATCGCGAAAATGCTAAAAAGTGGAGAACGCCTCTACCTTTGTGAACTCCCTTGAGCTCAGGGTTCCTATCCACCAAACATGCTGACATTCCGGTCATTGAGTTTTAATATTGTTATGTATGTCGCTTATACACGGGAACCTAGCTTACTGTGCGCAGCTCTAGAAAACGTGGCGTGCCGCGCATGCAAATACGTGGGGCTTCTTAATTTTCTCCGGGTCGTGGTGCATCCTGTCATTTTGAGGCTAAATATTTGGGAGAAAACATGGCAACATACACTTAAATTAGCTACTAAACACCATCAAAATCAAGCACAAACTTCGTTCCTAGCTTATATACGGCTAGCCGGCTAGTTGATGAGATCAGCTGATGGCTGAGGACTAATGCAGAGTTTTTGCTTTGTCTGTTGCAAGTGGGGTACAAAATATCCCATTATTCAAGGTGTAATAACTGTCACAAATTGAAAAAGCAACGGAAACAATATGCGCGACGTCGGCAGCGTGTAAAATTATGCTCGACAATTACAAGTACAAATTCATCGACGTATTAGGCATAGACGCAAATTCAGTCATCAGTCGATAAGACGTAAAGCCGCAAGCAAAATCATTAATCTTTGGGTCCCCGTCAACGGCGTAGGCCCTCCTATAATGTGGGAAAACCCGCAAACCAATGAGGACGGCACCTGAGCAATCCAAAATGCCGCAGCAGGGCAATAAAGAGGCTCCTGTTATCATTGACAAGTCCGCATGACAGGCGAGAAGAATCTAACACTAATATGGTGGGATCCCTAAAAGATCGAGAGTACCCCGGCAGGCTAACACAAAGGGTCCAGCCAGAGGACAGGATCCTCTGAGCAAAGGGGAATAGCCGAAGATCAGTGTACATGAATTAACTCCCCTGTGTGGTCAGGAGTGCCCGGGCAGGTTAACAGAGAGGGCTCTGACAAGTGAAGGGTCTTCAGCAAATAGGCTCAAAAGGAAAAGAGCCGTAGATCAATGAAGAGGGCCCCTGAGCATCGAATACCTCGCTGCGTGACCTCATATGGGCCCCAACAATAGCACGGGTCCTTCAAGCAAGTGAAAAGAACCCATTACCGATATGAAGGGCCCCTGAGCAACCGAGTGCACCCCGGCATATGAGGCCCCGGCAACAGCGGCGAGGCGGGAGAGCCCGCCTGCCCCGCGGGCGCAGCGGTCCCCGCCGAGCCCGTGCCGCCAGCCACGGCTCCGGCCACGGCGCCTCCTGGCGCGCTGCTCCCAGTCCACCAGTGAGCCCCGGGGCGTGGCTGCGCCCAGGCCGGACACGACCGTCATGCGTCTAGATAATTTGTGGTAACCATGCTCCACTGTACACAACACATGATCATGGTGGAATGCTGGGTTGACTGTGCCTTCTGTTGACAAAAGGGGGAAATACCGGCAGTAGTCAAGAATGCTTCTGTAGTGTCATCTAGCGGCAGGAATTCAAACTAGCCTGAGTGCCGAGGGTAATGGACGTTTTGAAAACTAGACTTAACGACTGTAGACTTTGCGACTCTGGACGTTGCGCGCCTGGACCTCATAAACATCCCCAATGGGCACGGAATTGGAGGCATGCTGGGCGTTATGAATGCTAGATGTTGCGATCTTGGACGATATCAGTCCTGCACGCTGCCATCTTCGACGTTTTGATGGCTCCCGTCTCTACAACGATTGGAGCCCTGATGCTGGACTGTTCCACTGCTACCTCAGATGGGTACCTGTCATCCTCCAGTTCGGCTGCGATTTTGGAAGCGACTGAAGCGGAGGAGCTGTTGAAGGAGTGAGATATGTTGCGATGGCATCTTTGGGGCCGGGAGGGGGAGCAGACGTTGAAGCAGCCGGTGTCATGCAGGGTAGCTTATACAATTTTTGAGTTTAATGCTAGTAATCTGAGGTGATCAGTTTTACTACAACAGCATGACAAATCCAAGGCGATATGACAAATCTGTTTGTTTTCTAGCGGTGTATGTGTGTGCCAAACATGCACGATAGTTCCTGAGTTTGGAATGGGTGGCGGTGAATTAGCGACGTTCCAATTTGTGGACCTCGTTCAGTTCGCGCAACTGCAGCGTTTCTGACGCGACGCGCCGATGCCATACATGTGAATATTATGACGCTGTCTCAGGCGCCGTGAAGGAGCAAGGGCCTCGTGCATCAGCAGAAACGTTCGTTGTTCGGTCCGGTTCTGTGGCCTCGTTCCTGGTGATTTGTGGTTAATACGTCTATTGCAGGTCGTGATCGTAAGTTTTCTGTGGGACAGGTATGTAATTATTTTGGAGAACATTTTTATTCGGTCCAGAACGTTATGGATCATTTTTAATTGGGTACATAAAAACCGGCATAGTCAGTACATTTTAATGATAAAGCGGCGGTGTAGCATTTCATATTTAGGTGTAACAGACTGTGAAATTTGTGACGTAAAAGGTTATAAGGGAATGTTTTACCTATGAAGATATTAAAGCAAACATTTGATATGACAAAACCAGCTCCCAGTGTAGGTTGATGTAAGAACCTTATGTTACAAAAGGGCATTGTACATTTGTCTTCTGTAAGGTAGCAAATGTCATCAATAATCATGAAACAGGTACATCTACACTGTTACCTTCAAACTTTGATGTCAATAGGGAACATTTGAGTGTTCCAGGGGTTGTTACAGTAAAGTTGACATGTGATTCTTCCAAGAATACTGCCTTTTGAAGAAAGTATGAAAAAGACCAGAACCGAATACAACTTAGCCTGACATAGCCTAACCTAACCTAATGTAACCTAGGTGTAGGTATACAATGGTGCCTAACATTTTTTAAAAAAATCATACACCATTTGTTTGTCATGTTTAGGGCAGAACATATTGTAAATAATCTCAAAACAGGTAGAATCATGCTCCTACCTTCTAATTTTAATAACTATGATAGCGAGCTGGGCGCAGCATGCACCCCACCGCCTTGACTCCCCAGTGCTGTTTTCTGTGTTGTTGCATAATTCCAATATTTCTGCTTATCAAGAACCATACAAAATGTACAGGACCAAGGTAGCAATAATAACTCAACAGAAAGTGTTTCTTATCTTGTCTAGGTATGTTTATGAAATGGACAGGCCAGATTAGTCCAGAACATAGCCTAAACTAGCCTAGCCTAGCCTAGCCTAGCCTAGCCTAGCCTAGCCTAGCCTAGCCTAACCTAACCTAACCTAACCTAACCTAACCTAACCTAACCTAACCTAACCTAACCTAACCTAACCTAACCTAACCTAACCTAACCTAACCTAACCCGCACCCTATCCCTGTCAACCCAGTGTCCCATTGGCATCCATGTTCCCTGCCATATAGATGTACCATATTAAGAAGTTTTGTTTAGCCACCATATTCTCATCTTGCTTTTCATTCCCACCCAAAAACATCATATTTCCCCACCATGTTGACCAACCTACAAACAATATGAAAGACTGATTGGACATGCAAGAAACACATTTTATTGGATCCTTGTCACCTTGGCCTCATGCATTTTTATGGTTCTTGATGCACAGTAATGTTGTGATCACGCTTAGAAATGGCGCCAGGGTCGTGGTTGCTGCGTGTTTGCGCTCAGATGTTCGCTATTGTAGTTATTTAAGTTCCAAGGTAGGAGTTTAGATGACCTGTTTTACGATAAATTATGATATGTTCTGCCATGAAAACAATGATTGATGTACGATGCTCTTTCTTAACATGAAGTAGCAATGTATACCCTGACCCTAGCCTGACCTAACCTAACCTAATGTAACCTATCCTAACCTAACCTAACCTAGCATGATCTAACCGTAACCTTACCAAATAACCTAACCTAACCTAACCCGACTTGACCATATCATTGTCACTTGACAAATCTCCCTGCTCATTCCCATGCAACCCATGTTCTATTAGGATCAGTGTCATTGGTGCGACACACTGATGTTTGACCGACCTCTGTTGTTGTAATTATTATATTTTGAGGGTAAGGTAATAAGTTTTCCATTCAATGTTCCTGTTTTATCATTATTTATGTTGCATCTTACAAACAAGTTAGTGAACAATTTAATATTGTAGTGTCAGGTACCATTGTACACCATGACTGTCATCCTCAACACATTGTATAGTTACCTCATTATAACTTGCACAATAGTGATTTAGAGCCAGGTGACAATATATACAGCAATTGATATATCTGGCAATTGATCTCATGGATTCAGATATGGGTACCTCAACAATCATATATTTGTTTTTGGCTTTGATTGCCACATGGCTTATGGAATGACAGGATTTGAATGGTGTTATGATGTCATGAATACCAAGGTGACTTTGAAATACTCTCTGTGCTGTACCTGTTCCCATGGTCACAGGCATGCTGCTCAGGTACTAGAGGGGCTTATGTGGCAAGAAGGGCAGGACTGTGAACTGCACTAAGAAGTCTTCAAGGTGGCTATTTCAGCTCAAAACCCCATATAAATGAAGATCACTCCCTGTAAGAAAGCTCATACATCAAGGCCATGATGAGGGGTCAAGGCTATCCCTCTGTTTTTTTTAAGTCCCAGATTTTATGTTTTTTTAAGTCTCAGATTTGAAATACTCATTACTGATTGGTTGACATACAAGGGACAGAGGAAGAGGTTCTTCCTGTGTTATGTTATGTTGGAGTTAGCATGCTTTTGATCAGCAAAATGAGATAAGAAATAAGATGGGAGACTGCTGGCAACTCCCACAGACAGAATGTTTATTTTTGATGATGTGCTGAAAACATAACCCAAGGAACAGGGAGGAGTTTTACCCATCATAGTCACTGCATAACCAGGGAAAGGGAGGTTTGAAAATGGTCAACAATACATACCTAACATAATTTGTGAATGGACCTTTGTCAATGGCCAAGGGCATTGGGACCATCATTGAGAATAAGGGTTTTTAGAGCTTGAATCTTTATACCTAATATCATTCAGCAGCCTTTATATTTTCCATTACAGATCAGTGGCTCAGGCCATGTATTGTGTTGTAGCATTAGTTAGAACATAGAATGTATTGATGTGATAAAATGCATTCATGGCTTCTTATCAAGTTTTATCCATTGTATTTCATTACTGGACTACATGTTTGCACCTGCTGGCATAGAATATATCACTATTTTATTGTTTAATTTATGGTGTATATATTCCACTATGCATCATTATTTTCATTTGAACTTCTCATTTTATGAACACCTTCAACCATTAACAGATCCATGTGGTCCTCAGGTCTTTCAGGTGGAAAATCCATTGAGCCTGACATTGAGTCAAGATGGCAGCAGGACCAATATCAGAAAGAAACCAGGGTGAGAGACTGTCCATTTTAGAATGTTGTTAACACAAAATTGCATGCATTCCTTTTATGGAAATATTTAGAGCAGGATGATGAAACATTTCAGGAGGTGTTAGGAATCATGCTTTTATGATTTTTTTATAGTTATAAAACATTGTGTTTGAATGTGTCAGCTACTAGACCACTTTTATTTTCAGCAGTTACCAATTCATATGTGACATGTGTGGTAGTTTTCATGTGATGTTATTGCTGATTTTCAGCCTTTTGCTGTCACTGGTAAAAATATTTCTATTACATGGCCCATGTGGACTGCTGCACCGAAATACCAGCTTTATTGTGTCACGTATTTCCAGGTCACTTTTGCTCGGTGTCCAGAGACTGGTCATCACCTAGGTATTATTTTAGCTACTAATATTGAGATGGGATTAGGGAGTAAGGTGCTAAGATATGTTGATGGTATGAAATTGGTAGGGCTATCATAAAAATACTGGTCAGATGATTGAAGTTGAACTTGACCTAAATAAACAAGTGAATTATACTTCTGTGTGGCAGATGTCATTCAATTATGATAAATATAAGTGATAAGGACTTAGGGGCTATAATGTGCAGTAACTTAAAGGGTGTAAAACAATGTGGGGTGGCTAGGAACAAGGCAAATAAATAAGGATGAGACATAGAGGAAACCAGTTTCATTTATTAAAAGGTCAGAGTAGACCTATGAAAAGGCAGATGTCATTTAGTCACAGGAGTGAGTTGTTGGAATGGGCTAACAAACAAAGTTGTAGGAAGCCCCTCACTTATTATATTCAAAAATTGTTCGGACAAGTTCGGTTGGTCTGAAGATCCCATTTACTGCTAAATTTGTGTAGGTCAGGTGATTAATTTTGAGGATGTGTGGAACCCGAGGTAGGTCAATCGCGATGGACCCTTGTGGCTGTTGGTTAGATATCTTCATGTCCTATGTCTGTATGGATTTTTTTGTGTGCCCAGCTGATTGTGGAAATCTGGGCACCGGACCAAGCAGTGCAGCTGAAATATTAATGCTCCATATATCAGTTCACTTTTCCTTGTTTGATGCTATAATTGTGATAGAAGTGGGAAGCTGCTGCATTTATTTTAATGCTCAGTTTATGAAGCAGATAGATTCAACTACTCAAGAATATGAGCTGAATTTCTGTACTTTATCTCCATCAAACCTGTGCTGAATGTCAACGTGAGTGGTGTGATGTTGCGGCCCGGTGGTCCCTCGCCAGTGGGTTCAAAATTTACTGTGTTTGTTGGATGAACAGACCGATCTGACGACCGGTGGCCATGCGACCGGCGGCCTTCAGGTCTGCGGTCGCCAGACGTTAGGCCAGCTGGCAGGTCAGCTGGCAGGCCAGCTGTCAGGTCAGCTGTTAGACCGGCTGTCAGGCCAGCTGTCAAGCAAGCTGTCAGGCTGGCTGTCAGACTGATCCGACGACCGATGGCCGTGTGACCGGCGGCTGTCCGGTCAACTGTCAGGCCGGTTGTCAGGCCGGCTGTCAGGCGAGCTGTCAGACTGGCCTGCCAGACCAATCTGACGACTGATGGCCGTGCGACTGGCGGCTTTCAGGCTCCAGCCTGGCTGTGGCGTAGGCATAGCCCTGCAGCAGGGTGGCGGGGCCTTCAATGTTGTGTGGGGAGTGCGAGCGGGTCGCCGCAGGCCCCGGTGCCCCTGCCGCCGCGCGGCTGACTCCGGCGTGTCACGGCCCCGTCGCCCGGCAGTGGCAGCAGTCAGTTCCCCCTCCGACGGCCTCGTCGCCGCGGCGCCCCGGGCGGTGCCACTTCTGGATGGAGTGATACCTTACCGTGATCGACGGCGCAGTGCCACCTGTTGGACGTTGGTTCCAGGTGGCGCTAGTGTTGTGTTCCCCGGCCTGTTCCCCGTGTGGTATCGTGGAGGAGGCTTATCGTATCGCTGTATGGCCATTCACATTCGGCGTGCTGTGAGACTGAAAGATAGTCGTGTTATTCTTTGTGTTTACAGCCGGTGGCTGCGAGAGAGAGAGAGAGAGAGAGAGAGAGAGAGAGAGAGAGAGAGAGAGAGAGAGAGAGAGAGAGAGAGAGAGAGAGAGGGAGAGGGAGAGGAGAGGGAGAGGAGAGGGAGAGGGAGAGGGAGAGGGAGAGGGAGAGGAGAGGGAGAGGGAGAGGGAGAGGGAGAGGGAGAGGGAGAGGGAGAGGGAGAGGGAGAGGGAGAGGGAGAGGGAGAGAGGGAGAGGGAGAGGGAGAGGGAGAGGGAGAGGGAGAGGGAGAGGGAGAGGGAGAGGAGAGGGAGAGGGAGAGGGAGAGGGAGAGGGAGAGAGAGAGAGAGAGCTCTAGTGCGATGTTCTGTGTCGCGCTTTCATTGATTGAAAGCACGTACGAGAGCCATTTCATGTATGATGACTGACAGTGATGATGGGAACATTTTTAGCAGCATAATCTGAAAATTGATTAATTGTACCACTTACATAGTACTTCATTTTATGTAACCTTTTTTATTGAGTCCAAAAGGCCCCTCCCAAGTGACCTACCAAGGCCCGACATGAAGTGACACGATGCCCGTAAGCTGGCGTCCCGTCTGTTACCTTGTGCTGGGAGTTCGGACCGCCGGCTGGTTCCGTGCCTGCTGCGTTCTGCCGTGGGTTGACGCCGCTGACGGGCCGGCCGGTGCTGCGCCGCCAGATGCCACCATCTACTGCGGCGGCCTGGACGAGAAGGTGTCGGAAGCCATCCTCTGGGAGCTGTTTGTCCAGGCCGGGCCCGTCGGTGAGTGCAGCCGGCGACTGGCGCTCTGGCACCGCCTGTCGACCAATCACCGTCCTGGCATCCGCCGGCCTACTCCGGGGCCCACCTCTGTTCTGCGTACGGTCTTGATCTGTCGTACCTTGATCGCTGAGGGCCTGCCCGTCACTGTGTCGCACACGTCACCATCTTCGGTGACACTAGAGAAAGGTGGCAGTAGTTGCCCTGTTGTTTTCATCAGTTGACAGCCCCAGTCCCCATGCAGTGCGACACAAGCGTGATCACCTGCACCTCAGGACCCGCGCTGCCAACCGGCTGGTTGCGGCCGAGTGGCCGGGACCAGCATTGCTACGGTGGTTGTGCATGGTGGAACATCGGCGCCGGCATCAAGGCGATGCCGGCCCGGACTGACAGAAAGGGAAACGCGTCCAGAGAGGGGTGAATCACGAAGAGCGAGAACTGTCCGTTGTCAAGTTGCACAGTCTGTCGCCACCACGACTCGGTCCGAGTACATCACTTCATAGCGGCAAACATCTGCATAGTTGTGGTAGTCAGTATACATTAGCGGCCAAACAATAGCTATACTAGCAATCGCTTCTGGGTAGGCGTATCACTCACATTATTTCCCAACATAAAACAGTGCGATGAAGCTATGGAGGCACTTACGGTTCTCACACGACACACAATGGCACACACACAATAACACACGTTGGCGCCACTTTATGTGACCCATACGCTGACGTGTTGACCTCATGCCGCCAAAGCTGTTCTGTTGTGCCCGATAGTGAAGAAATGACTTGCTGTTTTTTTTTTTAAATCGATGGAAATCTACTGTCCACGTCGTCGCTTCAAAGTTTTTACATTTCTCTTGACGTGACGCGCTGCATTATGCGGGCTAGTTAGAACTAAGGTCTGGAACTGAGAACTAAGCTGTCATAGTAAACAGTGCCTTTAAAACCACCTTCATTAGTCATGCTCCGATTGCAGGGAATTTGTAATCGCCATTCCAGGCTCTGAAACAAAAAGGATACACTGATCATGCTGCCACTCTGGCTAGCCTCAAGCATTGTGCTATATATATATATATATATATATATATATATATATATATATATATATATATACATATATTATCGGCTCGAGGTCTTGACATATATGCATTTCTCGAAGTTTTCTGTGCCCACTCTGCTACTTACGGGACGATGTTTCGATCGTGACGGTCTCCAGATTATAAACCTTTCTCCTTGACAATGATGATGTGATGTGATGTTTCTTGTGAGGTCGTCGCAGGTAATGCTACGGCCGCGTTCGTATCGTATGTGTTCTTTTGAAGCACCGTCAGCCAAGCGCTTCGTCAACTGCATCTTGAAATGCATCGTCAACCATTCGTCAAGGCAGTTGGCGTGGAGTGCGATGGTGGTTACACCAGCGTAGATCGATTGCAATATTGTCATAACAAAACTTGAGAAGTGTATCAGTTGTCTTTCAACAATCCAAATTGTCGTCGTTATTTTTTAAATTAGTTATTGAGCTTTAAGGACGCGTCAACCACGTTGGTCATTTGCGGCGTATAAGCACGTCTACTATCCTTGCAAAGCTATTTTGCGTGATGTGTTGGTTGTTCTTTCTGTTGTAATAATGAGAACATTATCTTGTTATCTGAGCTGACTGATTGGACGCTGAGAAACATGACAGAAACTACGGGCAGCAAGACCAGGAAAACCTACTGCATAGTTGTGTTCTACTGAATCCCCACAAATGGCATGCTGCTATCACAAAAAAATCTTGGTATTCGTTTTAATACGCAACTATGTTGATTTCAACGTGCAACAACCAGACTTGCAATAATGGACAAATTGATTGCCTGACAATGCTGTGTTGACCACCCAGTGACAACTGCTGCTAAAATATGCAGGAGCAGATTGATCATCCTGTTTTGGGAGGCTTAACCCTGAATTTGCAATGCCAACCTGCAGCAAAACGGAAAAATGTATTTCTGACATACAGTGGTCTCCGTGGCTTCATGGTTCATCTCTCATGGATCTACCATAGTAAACATAAGATAAGCACGAACAGAACGGAACTTTTATGACTATTTCCTCTGTGTTATATAGCAGTATTAAGTGCAGGACAATACACTCATTCTTCTGTGCGGTAGGTAACATGCTGCAACCGGTTATAGAAGGAGCAGTGATATGTAACACAAGCCATGTGCAGCGTTCCTTACGTACAAGTTTAAACACTAAATGGTGCACCAATTACAGCAGCTACACCACATATTTCGATTATGCCGTTGTATCAACTTGCTAGGGCTGTCGTTTTGCGTGGTCATGTTGACTGGTCCTTGGCAAATGTGTTGTAATGTAGTTAATGAAAAGGGTATTTACAGCATTTTGACTTTTGCCAGTTAGCGTCGGCTCCAATCGGTAAAATCAGTAAAACCAAATATGACAGGCGGCATGAACCAGTTTCATCCGGATACAGTGGAAACCCTGGATTTCACATTTCGGAACTTACAGCCACATGCAGTAATATTAGGTGATGTCTATCAGGATGAAACAATCGCATGTGAAACATTACCCATCCCCAATACTACCGTGCTTATTTCCATGTGGCACTCCAGTTTTGACCTCCGATTTTAGTAAGTTAGCAGGACATATTTGACGCTGGGTAAGATAATTTTTAGATGTATACTTTGTTATTATAACTCGCCCGTCGCTACGCAACACGATTCCGTCATATTCATCGGAATTTTTGATAACGTGAAATACACGTTGAGCTCTAGGGATGGGATGTGTGTCATTGTTTGTTCTTGTAATGATGATTTAAGTTGATTTGTGGGATGCGTGATGCGTGTAAAACCCTCTTGGTGTAAGCACTGTTTGCCTGACGATGCAGCGGTTCGAAAAGTGAAGCATTGCAAGTTTATTTAAGAAGCATAACAAAGCATTCCTATCTTGTTTGTCACATTGTTTTGCGGGGGTGGGCTATAATCACCTGGTGTAAACTGTCCTAGCTGTTTTCTGCTACGTGCCCATGGTTTGCAGCTTCTCCCCTGGCGACAATACTTACTAGATTATGTCGCAGGAACTGCTTGGACTATTTGTGCGCCTTATGTTAATGACAACCTGTTCCACGCATCTTCATACAGCACGCTTTTTTGTCTTGACATCTTGCTTTTTTGTCAGCCAGACCTTATTCCTGCGATAGCTCTTTGAATGTCCCGTGTTCCACACCAACCGTAACATATGGACATGTACTTGGGTACCAAGGATGGATACCGGATCAATAGGCATCTGCATACAATTCTGTGCTTAAGGATCTTGGGAGGTTTTTTATGCCAGGCATATGTCTGCAGGTGCAGCACTTAGCATGCACTTTTATCTTGTCATTCTGCAATTCCACTCTGCTTTATTGGCTTGTGTTTCGTTCCACAGTGCTCGAGTTTCAGTCAGTTTGACAGCTGTTGCCACCGTTTGTTGCTGCCTAGCGGTCTGAAGCGGTAAAAACCGGCTTGCAGAGGCTGTTTCAACCGGCTGCTGCCAACTCCGGCGGAACCAATAAGCCATGTCTTACACGAGACAGAGCAAAACTCGTTAACAGCATTCGATTGGCGATACGTAGCTAATCTATCCTTGTGTTTGAGAAGAGGAACCTATTTAGACGAAATTGATGAAATAATCCAAAGATCTAAAAAGCCTGAAGTCTCGATCGGATTATAAGATCGATAGGATAATCTCACGTGCAAGGTTCTCAGAGTCTGAGCCGGAGTGCGTCAGGACAAAATATTTCTAATTTCGGAACGTCAAAGGATATCTTAGTCAAGGAACCTCCGAGTGAACGAATGCGCAATCCTCAAACGGAACGACTGCTTTGAAAGTACGTCCTCGGGTACTCAAGTTAAGCATGAACGAATCGATAGTTGAGCTGATATGGTACGCACTAAAGATAGCCATCCATATGACACAAATCTCAGCCATTCTGGAATGCATGTCAAATCCCGACTTAAGCAAAATTTACTAGACTGCTAAAAGTGAGCTTTCGGTGCGCTGAAGTGTGCAGGCGGCGATTTTCCGTGTGTACGAGGACATTCAAAGAGGGAAGTTTGCTGTTTGACTCCTCTTCCATTGAAAACCTCATGTTTGGTGCTTTCTAGGGCATCAAGGAATAAAACAGCGTGAAGCCCATCCAAAAAAGGGAAAACAATCTTCATTGCACCCACCATAGACCAAAGGGCAAAACTCAGCCAGACACGAGCTGAGCCAGAGCATGAGGAGAGAACTCGGCCAGACACGAGCTGAGCCAGAGCTAGAGGACAGAACTCAGCTAAACATGAGCTAAGCCAGCGCTAAAGGACGGAACCCGGCCAGACATAAACTAAGGCAGAGCTAAAGGGCAGACCTCGGCCGGACTCGACCTAAGCCAAGGCCTAAGGGCAGAACTCGGCCAGACACGAGCTAAGCCAGAGCTAAAGAACATGTCTCGGCCGGACCGGAGCTAAGCCAGAGCTAAAGAACATGTCTCGGCCGGACCGGAGCTAAGCCAGAGCTAAAGAACATGTCTCGGCCGGACTGGAGCTAAGCCAGAGCTAAAGAACATGTCTCGGCCGTACCGGAGCCAAGCCAGAGCTAAAGAACATGTCTCGGCCGGACCGGAGCTAAGTCAGAGCTTTCCATAATGGCCCATGAAGTTGCGAACGCTTGATGTAAAGGCAGACCCACGCCCACCCCCTCTCTATGCCAATAAAAGTGGAATCGGAAGTATCCGGTCAAATTTGCAGCAGTCAAAAAGCAACTCCCACACCAATGCCAGTGTTTTTTTTTTTTCAACAAAAACTGATAATCTTATATGGTTTGTTGGTTTGTTACGTCACCAAATAAATGCCAGAGGCCAGAGGGAAATATTTGCTCTAATTACTGCCATCTTCTGTCTTAAACTTTTGACCCAACCGTTGCTTCCGCCCTTAGGTTCTCCTTTGCGATCATTCTTCAACGAGGTTGGACCGGTCATTTACCAATCGCAGAAATAACTCTCGCTCTAATGAGATGGTCGTGTGAGCGTGCCTGCCAAGACGAGTGCAGGATTGTGCAGAAGTTTTCCACCCTGACACGGCGATGAACTGCCCCAGCGCGGTCGGTGTGCTCCTTTCCGCCTGCACTTACGAGTTGGCTCGCGGCCATCCGTCCCTCTCTCTCTCTCTCTCTATCTTCTCTCTCTCTCTCTCTCTATCTATCTCTCTCTCTCTCTCTCTCTATCTCTCTCTCTCTCTCTACTCTCTATCTCTCTCTCTCTCTCTCTCTCTCTCTCTCCTCTCTCTCTCTCTCTCTGTCTCTGTCTCTATGTCTTGTCTCTGTCTATGTCTCTGTCTATGTCTCTGTCTCTGTCTCTGTCTCTGTCTCTGTCTCTGTTCTGTCTCTGTCTCTGTCTATGTCTCTGTCTCTGTCTCTGTCTCTGTCCTGTCTCTGTCTCTGTCTCTTGTCTCTGTCTCTGTCTCTGTCTTGTCTCTGTCTCTGTCTCTGTCTCTGTCTCTGTCTCTGTCTCTGTCTCTGTCTCTGTCTCTGTCTCTGTCTCGTCTCTGTCTCTGTCTCTGTCTCTGTCTTGTCTCTGTCTCTGTCTCGTCTCTGTCTCTGTCTCTGTCTCTGTCTCTCTGTCTCTGTATCTGTCTCTGTCTCTGTCTCTGTCTCTGTCTCGTATCTGTCTGTCTCTGTCTCTGTCCTGTCTTGTCTGTCTCTGTCTCTGTCTATGTATTCTCTGTCTCTGTCTCTGTCTCTGTCTCTGTCTCTGTATCGGTCTCTGTCTCTGTCTCTGTCTCTGTCTCTGTCTCGTCTCTGTCTCTGTCTCTGTCTCTGTCTCTGTCTCTGTCTCTGTCTATGTCTCTGTCTCTGTCTTGTCTCTGTTCGGTCTATGTCTCTGTCTCTGTATCTGTCTCTGTTCTGTCTCTGTATCTGTCCTGTATATGTATATGTCTCTGTCTCTGTTCTGTCTCTGTCTCTGTCTCTGTATCTGTCTCTGTCTCTGTCTCTGTCTCTGTCTAGTCTCTGTATGTCTCTGTCTCTGTCTCTGTCTCTGTCTTGTCTCTGTCTCTGTCTCGTCATATGTACTCTGTCTGCTAGTATACTGTCTCTGTCTTGTCTCTGTCTCTGTCCTCTGTCTCTGTCTCTGTCTCTGTATCTGTCTCTGTCTCTGTCTCTGTATCTGTCTCGTCTCTGTCTCTGTATCTGTATCTGTCTCTGTCTATGTCTCTGTCTATGTCTTGTCTCTGTCTGTCTCTGTCTCTGTCTCCTTGTTCTCTCTCATCTCTCTATCTCCTCTCTATCATCTCTATTATCTATCTCTCTCTCTCTTCTATCTCTCTTCGCTCTCGCTCTCTCGCTCTCTCGCTCTCGCTCTGTCTCTCTCTCTCTCTCTCTCTCTCTCGCTCTCTCTCTCTCTCTCTCTCTCGCTCTCTCTCTCTCTCTCTCTCTCTCTCTCTCTCTCATCTCTCTTATCTCTCTCTCTCTCTCTGCCCGCAATTAGACATATGACTAGCTCTGACTGGTATCGCGCGACTGTAACACAAGCTTCTGTTACGTTGATCATGTTAGTGTTTCAGATGGGTGTTTTGTGGACAACTCATGCGCGCGAAAGAAGTCCCGTGATCGTTGTGTTATATAAGCTCAGCTGGTCAAAAGGAACATTGGATAGCTGGCAGGTCGGGGTTTCGGTCGTCTCGCTCTCACATATATAGGTCAGCAACACCGCGATCAGCCTGGTCTGCAGTCCACCCCGTCTGACGGTGCCTCGCCGGTCCTCTCGGGCCCGGGTTGGCGGCTGTCGGCTCTGACCTCGTGTCTGTTGGTCCGCAGTGAACGTGCACATGCCCAAGGATCGTGTGACGATGAACCACCAGGGCTACGGCTTCGTCGAGTTCATGGGCGAAGACGACGCCGATTACGCCATCAAAATCATGAACATGATAAAGCTGTACGGCAAGCCGATACGCGTCAACAAGGTAAGGTTCCGAGCCCGCTCTGATGTCAGCAGCAGTCGCGGATGGAGCAATTGTCAGGTGAGGTTCCGAGCCGGCGCTGCCAGCAGCAGTCACGGATGGAGCAATTGTCAGGTGAGGTTCCCAGCCGGCGCCGACGTCAGCAGCAGTCACGGATGGGGCAATCTTCAGATGGGGATCCGAGCCCGCTCTGATGTCAGCAGCAGTCGCGGATGGAGCAATCTTCAGGCGAGGTTCCGAGCCGGCGCTGCCAGCAGCAGTCACGGATGGAGCAATTGTCAGGTGAGGTTCCCAGCCGGCGCTGACGTCAGCAGCAGTCACGGATGGGGCGATCTTCAGGTGGGGATCCGAGCCCGCTCTGATGTCAGCAGCAGTCGCGGATGGAGCAATATTCTGGTGAGATTCCGAGCCGACGCGTATGTCAGCAGCAGTCGCGGGTGGAGCAGTCTTCACCAGTTATCAGACGAGGAGGATGCGCCTTGCGCTTACGCCGCCCGCGCCACCGATACCTCGCCTCGATGCTTCCGTAAAACTGCCGCAGGCAGACAAGTGTCCGGAGTCCCAAAAACAGTTACAGGACCCGGTCCCAGGATACCATGAACATGGATCCATATGGGACAAACATAAAACATGGGATTAACATGGATAAACATGGCACCCAGTGGGGTGGTGAACCCATCCTAGGGATCCAGGCACATGTCTGGCCGCAAGCCCTGTCACTGTCCGGCGAAGCGTCCGTCCGCGTGGCGGCGGCATTGCTCTGCGGCGTCGCCAGCGTGCTGCCGCCACCGAACGCCATCTGTCGGGTTTTGCTCGGCCGCCGGGGGGGAGGAAGGGGGCTGGACGGTGTCACACCAGCGGCCGGCCGCTTCTGCCGGCGCACCGGAGCCTCGGACGGCCAGCCGGCCCCTGGCGGGGGTGCGGCAGGCGGATGGGAAGTGCGTGGCGGTGACATTCACAGATGGCGAGCGGCCGGCCGTGCGCTGCGCCCCGCAGAAGGCGAAGTCATGGCGTAATGGCTAATTGCGCTGTGGCGCGGGAGTCGGCGTCGGCCTCGCCGGACTCCACAAACAGTCCGAACCGTTCCACGTTGATGTGAGTTATCAGTTTGGTGAAAGTGGTCCGCGTCCCCTTGTGGACGTGCGGGGATGCTGGACCATCGTGTTTCCGTCAACAACGCACCATTTCTGAGGTGACGGTGACCGATTGGGCAGCCGGTGAGATTTCGCCTAGTCAGCCACCATTTTGCGGCACGCCTGTCTTCAAGTCCGGGAGGCTTTTGCCCTGGTGTCAGTGACGACGTCTGATGACACGTGACAGCAACCCCATATGTCTTGTGATACATGCCATTGACTTTTCGCTGGTTGACTTGTCGGTTGCCTGTGACTTGTCTGTCAAAATATCGTGACAGTTGTGTCGCTAGCTGCGGGGGTCACGTGACGCGCATGGCGGTGGTTGTGGGGTTGTGTCATTCGCTCCTGTGGAGTTTTGTGGCGCGTGTTTCAAAATCTCGGGGCGTCTTGTGGCACGTCCACTTGTCTGTCCGCCAGTCTAGTGGTGCACCTGTGTCGGCGGTGGCTCCGATATTCATGTGACGCGTGTGTTAGCCGAAAGGTGGCCGCGGCGCACGTGATCCTGGTGACACACGCAACGCGGGTTTCAGGCGTCAGCCCACCAAAAGAACCTGGACGTCGGGGCTAACATCTTCATCGGCAACCTGGACCCGGAGGTGGACGAGAAGCTACTGTACGACACGTTCTCGGCCTTCGGCGTCATCCTGCAAACGCCCAAGGTTAGAGGGTTGTGTGGATCAATGCTAGCACGGCGTCGGTGGCAGGCTCTGACGGAGACTTCTCTGCGGGGAACAGCGCGGCGGAGGTCACTCCACAAAGATGTGGCGACTGGGGTCGGGGAGGGCGGGGGAATGGGAGGCCCGCAGATCAAAGCCTTAGTTTTACTGGGGCTGGTAAATTTTCGGTTGAGATTTTGTCTCGTGTATGCCACTGTCTTTGGATGATACGGAGGGAGGGGGAGGGCAAAGGTCGAAATTGATTGGTCTGTTGGCGTACCTCGCCTGAGAGGAACTCAGAACAAGTTTTCCTCAACTCTCAACAGCTAAGGTTTTCCATTTGAAGTAGTGATATTTGCGGGACAAAAGTAACCGCGTTGCTTCTGTAAACACTATTGTGTTGAAGCTCATAATTCCGTACTACGAGGTGAATACGTTAGCACGTGTATTTAAACTCATCGAAATCCCTTAAGAATCGTCGATCTATGTGACCTGATATTTATTATTAGTGTTTTGTATAAAGTTTATTTGATATTACATATGTATTTATTTAATATTTGTTATATTTATATTTACTTAATATTTATTGTTGTATTGATCGCCAGTGAAATCCCCCTAGACTAAAGGTTCCGCGCATGGTATCAATTACAAGTTGGTCACTCGCGACAAACCTAACCTCAAGGCGTTGCGTGGTATGGTAGTGTTATGCGTGGTACTAGCTGGTCCCAGACGTACATCGCGGGGTGTCTCCGAGAGATTCTTCTGAGAACCTGTCGGATGTTCAAAAACGCCGGTCCTCAGAAGTATTCTGTAAAAGCCAACGGCACAAGCTAACGCACTTCTCGTTCATCTCTGTTATTGGTTGTGAAACTTTTATGCGGTACGGGTGCAACTTCAGATCTTCTCTCACAATTATATGCAGAAGAAGACCACCATATTGCGTTCCCGGGACCGTCACATCCCATTCCCGACGCAGTGACCGCCTGGGCGGAAGTTTCAGGTGTCTTGTGTTCACGAAGAACGGAGACAACCAGCCTTCTTATATCACAGACTTGACCGGTTCATGACCTTTTTTTATTGTCTGACGACCCGGTTTCCCCTCGGAACGCTTATGCGAAACTTTGACATGCAGGTAGTATGCCACCTTCTGATTTGATCATTTTCTCGAAGTCCTTTTGAGAAGCTCAGAGTTACGATTTGAAGTAGCCACTTCGTAGGGAAAAATGTTATGCAACTCCCTACTCAGTGCTCACCACCATGGAAGTAATATTTTCATAAAGTGTATTTTTTGTAATTTTTGCAGGTTACAAATTGGTCATAATGATTGTGCAATAAGTGCTATGGGGCGTGGAACGCACTGTTAGGGAAAATGGTGGATAACTATGCAGACATGATCACGTGAATCCGAAAAAATGTCATACCATGGCTTTGGTTTTTTGTTTCTCCCCATGACGTTAAGCGCAGCGGGCCATTTCGATGCCTACTTTGGCTTTGGGAAACAGGCGTATCGCATAGTATGGTGACGCATTGGTTAAAAATTCCATCAATGCGCTTCTCGGTTAACGGCTTACGCCGTCCGCTGTGCCAGTCACGAACGTTCGTTCCCACTGTCTTCATCCATACCAGAAGAGGTGTTACTTTGAAGTCTGCGGGCCCGCTATATGCGGGTTAAAAGAACTTGAAAGTGAATACGTGTAGCCCAAAACAGCTGACGACGGCCCTCAGCAGATTCTGCCGTCGTCAGCTGTCGCGAATTAGGGCTGCACTCTGGTATTATGCGGAAAAAGTGCGCGTTGTGACAAAACGTTGACTGCGTAATTTGCACTAGAAAACAGTTGAAATTGATTTGCTTGTGGTGTCTTGTTGGTGCTGCCTTTGCACCGCCCAATGTTATTGCCAGACGTTTCTGGTGCTAAGCTTTCATCAGAGTATGTTTTTTTAAAAAAATATTCCCCAAATGTGGCACACTCGCTTTAAATGGTTTTGACTTAATGAATATGATTGTTTCGAGGTTGGTTTCCATTCAGAACCACCTATGCTTATAGGGCCAGTGCATGTTGAAGAAGTTTATACAGCAAATTATGTTGATCCGTACAAGACACCAGCGAGATATTTACGTGGCTTTTGCTTCGTCTGTGTGATTGTCCACACCTTCAGTGCACAGGGGGAGTTTTCAATATTTTGGGTACCCGTACTTTTCGTAAACTGTGCACCTGTTATGTTCGATTGCTTTAATCAAGGGCAAAATGCGCATCAGTCGATATAATAGGCACAGTTCAGGAACAACGCATCGTCGCGATACGGTGGTCTTATTGCATTTATAACACATTTATTTGCTGAAACCACTTTGAAAGGGCTTAGCTGAGCGTTTTCGGAAGCGGTTCGACTTGTTACAAAGGTTGAGCCACCATTGGCCGCTGGGATCGCCGGCCCGGAGCTTGTCATTAGCCTATCGGTGGAAGGTAAGTATGGCCACAAGACACGCCACGTGTCTAGCTGTGAGGGTCAGCTGGCTCCGCTCCGTTGCATAGCCACCGTAACGGGGCTTTCATGGCCACACGCCAGCAGCCAGTTCGTCATGTCCAGTGCGCGCGCACTGTCAGCATCAGTCACGAATTTCGTGGAATCACATATTGTTGGGGGGTGGGGGCGGGGGTCTGCCCCTCGGTCAGGGCCGACAGCGCCGTCGCCCGAGCGGCAAGGCTTGCCGCGGCCCGGAGCCTAGCCTCGGCTCAGCCCCTCACTGAGTCGGTGATGGGCGTGGCCAATCGGCACCGTCCAGACCGCCCTGTCGCACCGCCCGGCCGCCTGACCGGGATGCATTACGTGCCGCGGCCCGGAGCCTAGGCTCGGCTCAGCTTCCTGCGACATCGCCCAGCCGCCTGACCGGGATGCATTACGTGCCGCGGTCCGGGGCCTAGGCTCGGCTCAGCCCCCTACTGAGCCGGTGATGGGTGTGGCCGGCCGGCACCGTCCAGACCGCCCTGCCGCACCGCCCGGCCGTCTGACCGGGATGCAGCACGTGCCGCGGCCCGCGACATCACAAGTGCGCGCGCTGCTCTTGCCATCTGCGTCCGGTTTGATCGTGGGCGGGGTATAACATTTTTCTAAGTTAAGAATGTCAGCTGGAAGCGGTAGGCATGAGAGTATCGCTCGTGGGCGGTGATATTAATCACCCCGTGACATTTTTGTGAGCATGGAAGAGCATGCATCCTCCAGCGGCATGGAGGAGCAACTCAAGGCCTCCAGGCCATGTTTGTAAGCTATAATTGGCATCCGGCATATATATATATATATATATATATATATATATATATATATATATATATGTATATATATATATCTATATCTATATCTATATCTGTATCTATATCTATATCTATATATCTATACATATATATCTATATATCACAGTATGGATTTCGCCCCGGCCTCGCCACGCATGCGGCGCTGCTTGACGCCGTCATCTTTGCTACAGACAACTTAGAGGCCTGGTGGCATCATTGGTCCCCGCCGACATCTCTAAGGTGTTCGACAGCGCTGAGCACGGTCGCCTCCCTGAGAAGCCGGTGTAGTATGGCATCGATGCCCAGTGGTTCAGTGCATGGCCCGGGGGTCGTACACAGGTCATGCGGGGCGGAACCAGCGTGTTGGGTGTCACGCACGGCGTAATGCAAGGCTCCATATTGGGCCCAGTCTTGTTTCGATCTTCACAAATTACTTCACACGGCACATTCTATGCGTTAAGATCATCATGCGTGCTGATGACACCTAGTTACTCGACACCAACCCACCCGTTAACATTTTGAACCTTAAAAATCGTGTTGAGAAAACTTGGCGCTACTTAAACTGGAGTGGTTTTGTCGGAACCGTGTAAGGAGGAACTCTTCCAAAAACAAATGATTCTGATCAGGCTTCACTCTGCCTCACGCCGACCTACAGCTAACGGGGAAACTCGGCTACGACGAGATCAAAGCTTTGTAATGCTTCAAGGGTCCTGGGCGTCGCAATTGGCTGTACCCTCAGGTGGGGAAATTACATATCAATCATCATGTGTCGTTACTACAGTATTCTGATTGCGCTTGTCCAGTTGGTTGCCCGCTTGAGGCACCGCGAACCGACAGAGACCAAGAGGATGATGATAGAGGCGCGGATGTTTCCAAACATTCGGTACTGTTGCTCAGCTGCACATAAATAGCGGGTTCAAAAAGCGCTAGACCTCGGCGCCCGCATCGTCTTCAACCGAAATAATCACGACCGTGCGTCGCCCGCATCGTCTTCAACCGAAATAATCACGACCGTGCGTCGCCCGCATCGTCTTCAGCCGAAATAACCACGACCGCGCGTCGCCCGCATTGCTTTTGGTGGGTCGACCCAAAGCGCCTGCCGATCACTGAACGGAAGATGACGATGCGAAGCATCCTGTCTGACGGCCCGTGCACTTGAGACGTCGCGCAGACGGGTGGTCAGTGTTGCCTCGGTGTCCTCGCGTGCCACTCGAGTCCCAGCTGACGGTATGCGGTAGCTCCCGCCAGTGCGCGCCGAGCTCGCGCGCCGATGATTGGTTTCCCGAGCGGCTCGTACGTGGAATTCGCCGCCACCAGACGTTCGCCGTCTTCCATTGTTATTGCCTTGGCCTTAAAGAACAGCGTAGTCGCTTACCTGCGATCGAGGTGACTGTTGCGTCCTTTTTACCACCGTCCATAATGACCATGTGTTTTGACTTTCGTGTTCAATGTATGCGACGTAGATGCCGGAAGAGCCATGTTATGGAGCATACTAAATCTAAGATATTTATCTATCTATATATCTATCTAGTTATGGTGGTCATCACCATGTCAGTTGCAAAATACCTCCTGGCTGAGATCCCATGGAGTTTTTTTAATTGTTTTTACCCCATTTAGACACTTTTTAGCATCCTCAGTGCCGGCGTAACCTGGTTGAATAAGGCGTTTTACTGAACTGAAATACTTCACGGACTGCTATCTATGTATGGCGTTCATCGCTATGCCAGTTACCAAAAATACTTCGTCGCTGGGACCCCACGGAGTAGTACCCTTTGTACCAGTGTTATCCCATTGGGACCCTTTTGACATTTTTAATGTCATTGTAACCAGGTTGAATATGGTGTTTTACGGAACTGGCGAGATGCGTCGCAAATCCCACAGACCAACTCAAAGGTGACCCACAGGACGTATTTTGGCCGATCTTTTGTTACGATGGGTGCCGCGGGCCGAAAGGGTCTTCCCTGAACGCGGAACAACGGACAACATTTGTAATTCTACCGGCCTGGCCGGGCCCGGGCTTCACGCTTTTGCCCAGGGGGGGGGGGGGGGAGGAGATAATATCTGCGCAGCTATTTACCTCAGTTATAAGCGGTTTTCAGGAGCCAAGGGGTGCATTACTTTATTTAGTTATGTTGTTTAAACGTTTAGGCATTTGCACGCAGAACGGTTGATGATGGGCGGTTTTCCTGCTATAGTGCAGTAAAGGCAAAATTTAACATTCCTCTTTCGATTAACATGGGAGGCGAGACGTTTGTTAAACCCTCTCCCCCCCCCCGTAAAAAATCGCGCCAGACAGATAGAGATCAGACCCAGACACCGATAACTGCGTCGCAATGACACAGGACCAGCACACTTGGACTAAGGAGAGAGTGGACAACCGTACTGGCCAGGAGTGAGGGCTCGATGGGCACGGCCAGGTCGCATGCTCGCGTACACCGACCGGGCAATCGCCTGTGTTAGGGCGTTTTTTCGTGTGGACGTGGGATCTTGGCAGCCGGAGTGGATATGAACGTGAAACTAACCGCGTGTTGCAGGCCGGCCCGCCGTCTGTGTGACTGGGGCTTGAGGACGCACCCAGCTACTGGGGATGTGTGGCGTCGCCTGCCTCTCACCCTGGCGGGAAGGGAGGGCACCGCGGAGAATAGAACCCCGTACCTCCGGTTTTCTGGACGCGTAGCGTAACCGCCACACAGTCGGTACCCAGTCTCTGCCTCCGGTTCACCGCACGCGTAGGCGTAATCGCCACACTGTTGGTACTCGGTCTGCCGTCTGCGAGTCAGTCGGCGATCTGCAGCGTTCGGTGTCGGGAGTGCGCCTACTCCGGACCGAAAAGTGGCCAGCGGCACCCTCTCAAACCGGCCACAAACCCCAAACGAACGGTCCAAACAAACTCAGCAAACAGATAAATACAAACGGCCAAACCAAAATCGGGCCATGAAAACGGCGAAACAAACAGCCAAACTCAACAAACGGCCAGACCGAGATCGAGCCGTGAAAACTGCACAGCGGTTGAGTTCAGCGCGTGGTCGTATATCGACTGCTCTGGCATCGACGACCGAGCGCCTTTGCATACCTGCCTGGAAACATCGGCATCTTCTGAATGTTTTGGTCTCAGCCGCGACTATGTGAACTGAAAACCAGTGAACCGAATCTGCAAAAGTCGCCAGGCTTGTGGTCCCATGTATCGTCCCGGCACACAGCCGATCTATCGCCAGGCAATTTTCAAGCCGCCCCTTTGCTGCATTATGCGCCGGGGGCTACTGAGGGCTACATTAGCGAAATTGTCCGCTAAGCTGTGAATGAAGGGCGTACGTTCCAACGCGTCGGTCGAACCTGTTGGTGTAGTCTCCCAAAGGCGTCCGGCCCCATGAGCCCAGACTTTGGCCGCGTCCAGTGATGGCAGATAATGGCTGTCGCGTTTGTCGCCCGCTCAGGCCACGCCGCGCAAGGCCCATCGCTGCTGTCTGTTGTGTACAGTTCCCATCTAAATCAGAGGTGGTTGGATGATTGCATAACGAGGCGTAAACGCTCTCAAGCCAGAGCCGCCACAGTCTGCATGCGAGCTTAGTTGCCGGCACGGGTGGCTGGTGTAGCGCAGTGTGTTCATCCCGTCCCTTGACTGGGGGAGTCGCCGCCATGCTGTCGCTGCGTCTCACGTGTCTCTCGTCGGCCGTGGCAGATCATGCGGGACCCAGACACGGGCAACAGCAAGGGCTTCGCCTTCATCAACTACGCCAGCTTCGAGGCGTCCGACGCGGCCATCGACGCCATGAACGGCCAGTACCTGTGCAACCGGGCCATCTCCATATCGTACGCCTTCAAGAAGGACTCAAAGGTGGGTGGTGGGCGGCCTCAGCAGCCATGGATTTGTGTGGCTACCTGCCTGAGCACTACACGGCGCCTGTAGGCAGACAGCGCCGCTACACTGGGACGCTACCGTCGTATAAGGCCAACGCGTCATAGTACTTTAGGTAGCACCGAGAGTATACAAACAATAAGGTAAACCCAGAGCGCTCCGGTCTTGGCACGTATAGAACCTATGACTTAGGGAAAGGCTCAAGCCAGCGACGAATTCGGACACCACGATCATGTTTTGATTGGTCAGAGCTACTCATGTCATCACAGAATTCAACCCCTATGTCATGGCGATAAACGCCAGATCCTTGATTGCACAATATCCTAGCTGCGTGGGGCAGCATTCCCGGCTTGTGGGGCAGCAAGTGAACATCGTGAAGCGTGACAGCTGGTCTGTTCTGGTCCTCGCCGACATGAACTCAGAGGATAGCAGCGATTTTGCGATTTGAATGAAATGTTATGTACCTTACGACGCCCGTATATTGCGCGGCACCAAACAAAACAAAAGCAGCATAGCTGAGTGAGTTTTTTCCCGCGATGCCTCTGGGTTAATCATATGGCAACCGGGGCTTCCCTGGGTTAAAAGTTATAGCGGGACAACTTCATCTGACGTATCACACGGCGAAGATTGGCGTCCGATTTCGCAGCAGAGGCTCAGAAACGGTGCACTTTGTCGTAATGCTAAAAACGCATGAGCCCATCCACCTGGTTACCAGTTGTAGAATGCTAGTATTGCGGATAAGCTGCTCGCATCTGAGAGTGCCGCCGTCTGTGGCGGTTACTAGACTGCTCTCGAAGCCCGTCACTGGTGCCGTCCGTCGGACGGCGGAGAGCAGTGAACCACGTCTGTTGCGGTGCGTTAGCCATACCCCTGTGGCGCCGTCACTCCGGCGTCCTCACTCCACCGGCCACTCGGCGCTGCGGCCGGTGTGCTGAGTGGCGCGTCCCTCTAGCCTTGTGTGCCTGCGCGCAGGGTGAGCGGCACGGCTCGGCGGCCGAGCGCCTGTTGGCCGCGCAGAACCCGCTCTCGCAGGCCGACCGGCCGCACCAGCTGTTCGCCGACGCGCCGCCGCCGCCGTCGGGCACGTCACTGCCACCGCCGCCGGCGCCGCCGCCCATGCCGAGCGCGCCGCCGCCGCCGGTGGGCCTGCCGCCACCGCTGCCCCACTTCAGCGGGCCGCCACCGATGCCGCCACCGGGCCCGCCGCCGGGTCCGCTGCCCGGCCAGCCGCCGCTGCCCAGCCAGCCGCCGCCGCTGCCCGTGCCGCCCGCCGGTCCCGGTGAGTGTCAGCCGCGGCGGCGAGCCTGCCGCCGCCGCGCGCCTGGCCGCCGGTTCTCTTGTACGAATGTTGGTGGTCAGTGCCGGAATCCTTTCATATGTATATCATACGTTTTTCTCGCCGAACCAAAATGTGTGTGTGGGGGGAGGGGGGGGGGGGGTCTCGGAAGGCGCGAGCCCCATTAACGCTCAGATGTGGTTCTGTTTGGTGGCCATTCCTGCAGTGATTGATGTGTGAAGTATGGATGATGGAGCACTGGCTCCTCATTGCAGTTGTCGTTGGCTGCTCGGCAAACACCGTACAATGGCAGTCCGTTCATGGTTGTTGTCACAACATTTTGTTACTCTGATCGGTAAGGTGTAACTCGCTTATAAGAGTCGCTAGCTGATGTCATTTGCATAATTATTTTGGGCTACTTTTCGTTTAGTTTCCATCCTATATTTTTTGTTATCGCCAACGGGGCAGCGCTCCCCTAACAAGCGAAATTGTTTGAATAAAATAACATAAAAAATTATAGAGTTAAATCACATTTGATCTTTGACACTAAAATGCCAAAGCTGTCATGAAAGATACTCGTGCCAATGTTACCAGGTAAATAGACATTCACAACATTTGGCAGCCTGCGAAACGCGCCGCTCTGTGCTGTTTGCACACGAGCACGAGGTACAGTGAACAGAGTTCTGGTGCGAGTCGATCGAGGCGGCACAAGCAAGGGGGAAACAGCTGAGCAGGATTTGGGGGTCCATTTTACCTTAGAAAATGCTTCTCAGAAAGAGCAAATTGTGCTACATTCTTCGTGCCCGTAGGGATGTAATTTTGAAATAAACCTAGAAGGCTTTCATAAGAAAGAGCAGCTGTGTACCCAGAGAATGTGAGTAAGTAACCAAAGAAGAAGCTTTTGCTGCCCTCGATCGACTCGCGCTGAGTGGGAATTGGTTGCCCCCGTCCAGACCACGCAACACTATTATAAAACCGATCGCACGCTTGCAAAACACACAGCCATCACGGGGTTCGGTTCAATTTTGACCTGTTGGTACGGACTTGGAATGACCGAAAGAGACCAAGTCTACAACCGCCCGTAATAGCTATGTCAGACATGTGAAGCGAAGGTTAATAGGTATTCAGCGTAACGCCAGGGTCCCGAATTTTGCACACGTGTTCAAGCTTAGTTCTGTCGATAAAATCTTGTCTGGACGGGGCGGTGTCGCTGCCCCGTGCCGCGTCTGGACAGTGCAGTATTACTGCCCCGTGCCGCGTCTGTGGACAGGGCGATGTTACTGCCCCGTGCCGCGTCTGTGGACAGGGCGGTGTTACTGCCCCGTGCCGCGTCTGTGGACAGGGCGGTGTTACTGCCCCGTGCCGCGTCTGTGGACAGTGCAGTATTACTGCCCCGTGCCGCGTCTGTGGACAGGGGCGGTGTGCGCTGCCCGTGCCGCTGTCTGTGGACAGGGCACGGTGTTATGCCCGGCCGGTCTGTGGACAGGGCGGTGTTACCGCCCCGTGCCGCGTCTGTGGGTACAGGGCGGTGTTACTGGCCCCGTGCCGCGTCTGTGGACTAGGGCGGTGTCGCTGCCCCGTGCCGCGTCTGTGGACAGTGGCAGTGTACCGGCCCCGTGCCGCGTCTGTTGGACAGGCGGTGGTTACTGCCCCGTGCCGCGTCTGTGGACAGGGCGGTGTCGCTGCCCCGTGCCGCGTCTGTGGACAGGGCGGTGTTACCGCCCCGTGCCGCGTCTGTGGACAGGGCGATGTTACTGCCCCGTGCCGCGTCTGTGGACAGGGCGGTGTTACTGCCCCGTGCCGCGTCTGTGGACAGGGCGGTGTTACTGCCCCGTGCCGCGTCTGTGGACAGGGCGGTGTTACTGCCCCGTGCCGCGTCTGTGGACAGGGCGGTGTTACCGCCCCATGCCGCGTCTGTGGACAGGGCAGTGTCTCTGCCCCATGCCGCGTCTCGGGTCGCGCCGCACGCCGGCTGACCTCGACCTCCGCGTGTGTGTGCTCTCGGGTCACGCCGTTCGCCGGCTGACCTGGCCTCGACTGACCTGACCTCCGTGTATGTGTGCTCTCGGGTCGCGCCGTTCGCCGGCTGACCCTGGCCCTCGACTGACCTGACCTCCGTGTGTGTGTGCTCTCGGGTCGCGCCGTTCGCCGGCTGACCTGGCCTCGACTGCCCTGACCTCCGTGTGTGTGTTGTGTCGGGTCGACAGGCCGCATGCCGGGTGGTCCGCCGCCGTTCGGAGGCCCGCCGCCACGCTGGGGACCGCCGCCACCGCCGGGCAGCTTCGGACCGCCGCCGCCAGGCATGCCGCCACCGCCAGGTGAGCGGCGTCCCCGGCGGACCCGCCCGCGGCCAACCCGGCCGTCCACCGATCCCGCACGCGCGTGGTGCATCTGGGGATTTGGAATCTTCTCGAGTTGTTGCCGAAGGAACCTCTGAGATTTTCGATGTTTTAAAATTTTGTCGAAGGATTTTCTGGGATCTTTTGTCAAATTCTGTCCAAGTATCTTGGAAGATCTAGGACCTTTTTTGAGCTTGTGCCGAAAGATCTAGATATTGGATCTATTTTTGGGATTGAGACGCATTTCCGCTGCCGCGATGCCAACCCGCTTTTCACGCAGCACCTGCCCTGAACTGCACTCCTGCTCACGGGGTGTCCTCACTGTCCCGGAAAACATTGCAATGGCTTTCGCGCAATGCGTTATTCGGTTTCATACCACCCAGCGAATCGGGCGTGGGTGCGCAGCTTCATTGGCCACTTTCTGCCTTCGTAAACAATATTTTAAGGACAGAGGAGCAATCCAAAGACGGCGTAAGCACTGCCGAACGCCACTCAAAAGCCAATCATACCCGGAGAAAGCAGTCAGTGTCTCGCAGTCAATCCGGACAACGGCCCCGTGTTTCCGTGTTTTTTTTCTCTCACCCATAGCGTGTCCATCTGTAAAGGTTCCCAGGAACTGGTCCCGGAGACGTCTCCGGCGACTCAAGCGTTCTCCGTCTCCGGAAGCGCGATTGTAGATAAGGTTGACGCGCATGTGGCGTATACAATCCTATTAGTTATGGCGGCGCGGTTAGAGCACCGAACACAGAGCCCGATTGAAAGGTCTCGCGGTTGGAGCGAAGGTGATAACGGCTGGGGTGTCGCGGCTGGACGTTGGTTAGGAAATTGTTGGAGATGGTTTGTTGAACAGTACAAATCAACGCGATTTGTGCGCGCGTGGTACTACGCGCGTAGTGTGGACCACGCTTGCTGATTGATTTAGCCTCGCCGACCCATTCCTTTCAGTATACAATCTGGCATATACATTTTGTACTTCCCTGGCAAAAGTGCGAAGTGCAAAAATTTCATCACTGCTCTCGTTGCACCCGTGCACCGTACCGTCAGCTGGTGGGACCTCTCAGTGCACGTATGTGCCGTACCGTCAGCTGATGGGGCCTCTTAGTGCGCTTGTGTGTCGTTACGTCAGCTGATGGAGTCTCTTGGTGCACTTGTGTACCGTGCCGTCAGCTGATGGGGCCTCTCAGTGTGTGTGACTCCAGTGTTGATGTCATCGACAGGCGTGCGGCCGCCGCCACCGGGCTGGAGGCCGCCGCCGCCGGGGATGGGCCGACCGCCAATGCCGCCGCGGCCGCCGTTCCCGCCGCGGGGTCCGCCCGGCATGGGGCCACCGCCACGGGGCTGGAACCCGCCGCCGCCGCCGCCGCCCCGCCCGATGCGGCCGCCGCCACCGCCGCCGGCGCTGGACCAGCCGCCGCCGCCGCCTTCCTCCTAGACTGACGCGGCCGGCTCCTGATCGTGTACTGTCTGGTCTCGGCCCGCCTCCTCATCGCAAATAGAAGCCAGCTCTGCTGGGCGCTGGCTCTGATCAGGACGGAGGCGCTCGCACCGGAACAGCACTGGCGTCACAGCCAGCTTCACGGAGTAAACCAATTGTCACGCCCTTTTGGAATCGCACCAGACCATGGGAAGGATTTGGGTTTGTAATATACCGATTTTACTGAATTTCGGTTTCGAAAGGGAAAACCGACCCTCCAAAGTAGTGTAAGAATATGCATTTTGGGGTTTGGTGTGGAACGAGGAAAGTGCTGGGCTTTCTGTGCCGTGGCATTCCGATCGCAGTAAATGCATGACGGGTCACCGTTCACCAGAAATAAGGGCTCGTGCGAACTTTCACGGCGTAACGTTTGTATGTGGTGGAGCTGACACCAACCGATAGGAATCGTATCGGAAATGGGACATCTCCAGGGATTAACTCCAAGCGATAATCATATGCGCCCAACATCAGGGCCTGCCGAATCACACGAGACGAAGAAATCAACGGAAGCGGCTTCATCTCGCCGATCAGCCCCAACAGCGGCTTACGATCCGTCCGCGCCGAAAACGGACGGCTGGCCTGATACAAATGAAACCTTTTCTCTCCTGCGATCACTGCTAAACCGTCTCTGTCGGTCTGAGAATAGCGTTTCTGGGTTTCATTCAACAAACGCGAGTAAAAAGCTGCCGACCGCACCCCCTGGCTCTTTTGCCGGCTGAGAACACAGCTCAGCCCAAATGGACTAGCGTCACAAGCCAAAATCACTGGCAGCTTCGGATCAAAATGGCCCAGGACGGGAGGATTCTTGGGAAGACACTTTGTGTCCTTAAAAGCCCTCCGCTCCGTGGCCGTCCACCGCCAGGGTTAATTTTTCGGAGAGATTGTGAGAACGGTGACGACGGTGAGACGGTGAGAGACAACAAAAAACAACGGCGAGAGGGCAATCACCAACCTGTGCCAAAAATTGCCATAATAGTGGATAAGCCCCAACCAGCAACAAAGTTCGGAGACATCTCGCGGCTTTTGTAGCACTCGTGACGGCCGAGGCCTTATTATCCGTGGTCTCAGCACCTTTTCCATTTACTTTGGGATCCAAGCATGTCACTTTCCATGCCAGAGTAACATTTTTCCGTGTTTGCCTTTAGACCTGCGTCGCTCAGCCAGC